GCACGTAAAAGAGGAAAAGCTCACCCACCTTCTGGGGCTTGATTCTCCGCTCCTCCACATGCAGCCAGCTGGGTGACCTTGGGCCAGTCATAGACTCATAGAGCTGGAAGGGACCTCCAGGGTCATCTAGTCCAACCTCCTGCACAATGCAGGAAGTTCACAGATACCTCCCCCTCCAAGGAAGCAACTTACCCTCCCTCTTCTCCTGCCTCCTCCTGGCTGAATGAGGGCCGGAAGCGGGGGGCGGGGCTTCGTCATGTGCCCCCCCCTCACCCGGGGGAACTGCAATTCCCCGCGATCCCCCCCGAATCGACCTCTGATCAGGCCTCTGATAGAAAACCTCCCAAGAAGGAGAGCCCACCACCTCCCGAGGAAGCCTGTTCCACTGAGAAACCGCTCTAACCGTCAGGAAGTTCTTCCTCATGTTTAGCTGAAAACTCTTCTGATTTAATTTCAACCCCTTGATTCTGGTCTGACTCCTGGGGCAACAGAAAACAGCTCCATACCATCCTCTACAGGACAGCCCTTCAAGGACTTGAAGAAGGTTATCATATCACCTCTCCGTCATCTCCTCTCCAGGCTAAACAGACCCAGCTCCTTCGACCTTTCCTCACAGGCCTTGGTCTCCAGACCCCTCACCATCTTCGTTGCCCTCCTCTGGACATGTTCCAGCTTGTCTAGATCCTTCTCAAATTGTGGTGCCCAAAACTGAACACAATACTCAAAGTGAGGTGAGGTCTAACCAGAGCAGAGTAAAGTGGTACTATCACTTTGCGTGATCTGGACACTATACTTCTGTTGATCCAGCCCAGAATCACATTTGCCTTTTTAGCTACCGCATCACATTGCTGACTCATGCTCAGTGTATGGTCTACTAAGACCCCTAGATCCTTTTTCTACAAGGCAAGTTTCCCCCATCCTATAATTAATACGTTTGATTTTTCCAACCTAAATACAGAACTTTACGTTTATCCCCATTGAAATTCATTTTGTTTTAGCCCAATTTTCCAGCCTGTCAAGATCATCCTGTATCCTGACTCTGTCTTCTACCATATTTGCTACCCCTCCCAATTTAGTATCATCTGCAAATTTAATAAGCATTCCTTTTCCGTCACCCAAATCATTGATAAAGATATCGCGGTTCTCTCAGAGCTCTCTCAGCCCCACCTACCTCACGGGGTGTCTGTTGTGGGGAGAGGAAGGGAAGGAGATTGTAAGCCGAGACTCCTTCGGGTAGTGGAGTATAAACCCAATCTCTTCTTCTTCTTGCCACTTCAGGACATCTCTGGCTCCCGGCCGCCCCAGTTCATCAGCGATGGGATGACTCGGTTCGACGTTCTCCAGAACCAACTGGGTAAGACTTCCTGCATTTCCCCTTCTCCGCTTCCTTCCTTTGTCGGGTTCATCTTTGTGGCAGGACTCCTCCCTCGAGCAGCTGCAAGGAAACGAGACATTCAAGTGGCAAAGCAGCATCGCCATCCCTGGCTCACCAGGACACGGGGAAAGTTTTACCTGTTGGATTACTGCCCCGACCTGGAGAGCCCGGGCTAGCTTGATCTTGTCAGATCTCAGAAGCTGAGGCTCAGTCCTGGTTTAGCACTTGGATGGGAGACCACCAAGGAAGCCCAGGGTTGCTCTGCAGAGGAAGGCAACGGCCAACCACCTCTGGACATTCCTTGACTTGAAAACCCCGTGGGGTGGCCATAACTCAGCTGTGACTCGTTGGCCTTCTCCCCTGCAATTGCATTTCTACTGGATGCTCATATAGTTAGTAGAACTGGATTCTAGCCCAGGGGGTGGGGGGAGTCCTAACCGTAAGCATACTGTTTTAGAGTTAAAATAAATAAATAAATAAATAAAAAGCAGCGTAAAACATAGTTATAAGAATATACGTACAATTGTGCATTAAGAAGTATAAAAATAGTAAATCTGTTTGTCAATTCTGGCAGCTACACAGAGGCCCCGGTCACACAGGCCAGATAACGCGGGGGGGGGGGGGAGGGGGGGGGGAGGTGTGGCTGTTTGCCCCGGAGCAAAATAAAGCACGGTAGCCCCGATCACATGGTCCCCTGAGTCTTCGCGCTTAGGCTGTTAGCTGGCAATCACACGACGATGCTGGAGCGTGGCAAAGAAGCGGCGCAGCAAGCGTTTCGTGCATGCACAGTTCCGCAGAACAGCACTGCTTTCAGTTACGTGTTTGTGCGCATGCACAGTTCCGCGGAGCAGCACTGCTTTCAGTTATGTGTTTGTGCGCATGCGCTTACAAAAAACATCCGGTTCACGACGAGACGTGGACGGGCGTCGGATGCAACGGGATGCTAGCGCTCTTGCAATCAGACGCCCGCCCCTGCTCCACGTTTTCTGGATACTAGTGCACTTTCCGAGGTCCTTTTTTACTGCGCATCTTCGGCCGGACGCCACGGGTTGGCTACGGGTGCGCTAGGCTTCCCAGATGTTGCAGTGTGACTGCACACCAAAAATCCGCCGAACATTCGTGTCTTTAGCGGGGCAACTTCTCCGTGTGAACGGGGCCAGAATTCGGCAACTCTGAGGTTCCAGGTTCAGGGTTTGCTCAATGAAAGCCTGGGACCCCAATAGGCGAGCCTGATCTCGTCAGACCTTGGAAGCTAAGCAGGGTCAGTACTTAGAGACCTCCAAGGAAGCCCAGGGCTGCTACGCAGAGGCAGGCAGTGGTAAACCACCTCTGAACGTTCCTTACCTTGAAAACCCTACGGGGCCACCAGCTGCAAGTTAGCAGATGAGAAAACAAGATGAAAGGAGGTATGCCTCCAATCTTCCTGTGAGGACAGGTGTCATAAACATTTATCTAAAATCATCCTAGAAGGAGCAATGCTGCAGTGCGTGTCCAGCCCTCCCCCAGTAGCCAGGGGGGAGGGCATAAAAGTTCATGAAGCAGCAGGCCACAGTATCTCCATCAGGGTTCATTTCCTGCAGGAGCGCGCAGGAGCAGAGCTCCGGCAGTAAAGAGCCCAGGGGGCGGGCACATGCAACAAGCCCCGCCCCCTGCTCCCAGCAGCCCTCAGTCAGAGCAAGAAGCAGACAGGGAAATTGCAGAGCTACCCCCCCCGGGCCCTGGTCCAAAACAGTCCAGTGGCACCTTTAAGACCAAGTTTTATTCAGGTACAAGCTCTCACAGGAAGGCGAGTCCGCCCGTTTCCCCCCCCCCCCCAATAGCTAGCAATCCAAAATAGTCCAGTGGAGTCTGAGCGGTGGATGATGTCAGGGGGTGTGGCATATGCAAAATAAGTTATGCTAATGAGTTATGCTAATGAGCTCCTGCACCTCTTTTTCTACAAAATGACCCCTGATCTCCATTTTCGGGTTTTGTTCCTGGTTCAGTTTAGAGTTGCCTCCCTTCTCTTAATCAGCCTTTGCCTTCCGACTGCCTCCTTTCGCCCAGAGATTCGGTGAACGAAATGTTCCCCTTCTCTGTATCTCTGTCCCAACACGTTACCTGGTGATTTCCCTGGTACATCAGGATAAGTGAAGGCCGTCATTTTAAAAAGAAAGGCCACCAGAATACAATGTCTGCTTTGGGCTCATGGGTCTACCACAAAGAACCTGCCTGGAATGGTTATCCCCCAAGGAACCCTGGGAAATTAGTCCTGCGGTAGGGTTGCCGGCCTCCAGGTGAGACCCGGGGACCCCCTGGAATTATGGCTCATCTCCAGACTACGGAGATCAATCCCCCTGGAAAAAATGGCTGCTTTGGAGGGTGGACTAGAGATGTAAAGGCCCGGAAAAAAAACAGAAAAATTCAGAAAAAAACCAGTTTTTCCCCCGGTTTTTTCCTGAAGCCTTTTTGGGTTTTTTCCAAAAAATTGGAAAAATTGAAAAAAGAAAAAAAAAATGATTATGGAACGTTTTATTTTAACATGATGAATAAAATATTTTAAGACAAGGTGTTCAAATATTTTCCAAATCATTTCTAATATATATATATATAGTATCAGATAGATCTCATATCTGGGCACTGAGGACAAGCAAGTCCTAGGTTACAAACTGTCCAATGCAAGAACAAGATGCATTTCTTCTTTTAGGAGGTGCGATTGTCAGAAGAAAATAAAAAGGTTTCAGTTTTGTTTTTGCACGTGGGTGGGTATTCTGTTTGTAATGATTGTTTGGATACACTGTGTTTTTAATAGGCTAGTTGTGATACTTTCATGCCAAGTAAAAATGTCCATAGTCATATTTTATGTTCCTAAAGTAACAGAATGACTTTCAATCTAGAAAAGACAAAAAAAAATGCTAATGTAGTATTTTTTTTATTTTTTCCGAAAATTTCCGTTTCTCCCCGGAAAAAAAAGTGGAAAAAACGGGTTTTTTCCCGAGCTTCAAAATTTCTGGAAATTTTACATCTCTAGGGTGGACTCTTTAGGGCATTCTACCCCGCTGTGCTCCCCGTCCTTCCCAGGGCTCCACCTCCAAAACTCCAAGAGTTTCCCAGCCCGAGTGTTGCCAGCTTCAAGATGAGAAATAACTGGAGATTTGAGGGGAGTGGAGGCCGAGGAGGGTGGGGTTTGGGGAGAGGAGGGACTTCAAAGGGGTATAACGCTATAGAATCTGCCTTACAAAGTGGCCATGTTCAGGGGGACGGATTTCTGTTGCCTGGAGAACAGTTCTGATCCCAGAAGAGCTCCAGCCACCACCTGGAGGTTGGCAACCCTACCTATGTGACAGGGCTAGGGCTGTTTCTCGGTGATCTCACAAAGCCATAATTCCCAGGTGCGTCATCCTCCTTATTGGGGAGGACTGGTTTCCCTTTAAAAGTTCTCTTTATTTAGTTTAACAGGGTTGAATCTGCTGCCACCAGGAAATTTTAAGGATTTCCAAACCTTTATGCTTTTACTTTTGCTTACTGGTTTGGTAGACCGAGTTCAAGGCTCACGAGGAACTATGTGGTTCTGGGAAGTATGTCATTCAGAGCTGGTATAAACTTTGATAGAGGATTTATTGAAACAAATACTAAATAAGAGGGTGGTACAATGTAACTAGTAATGTGTAAATGATGAACAATTGCTTTGGTATCACACACAATCTTCTCCCTCACTGACAGGGATCTTTTCATGTAACTTTGTAACACTTGTTTATCTCAATGCCATATGCGTTCACTGTTTCTCTCCCGTTTGTTATGACCCTCAGACTTTCCTTTAACTGTTGGTCACTTAAACTTTACTGTTTCCTATACGTTCAACTTTCAGCTTTCTCTCTCTGTCTCACTGAACAACCGCAGTTGTCAGTTTATAACTGTTTCAACACAGAACTGCTTGTCTAACTAACATCAACTGTCAACATCTAACTGAAACTACTGACTGACTCACATACTCATCCAACCAGATTCACTTCCAAAGCCCCCCCTCTCTGTCAACCACCAATCATACCACACTTGCCTCTTTCAACCACTCTAGTCTATCTACCACAGCCATGCAACCAAACTTTTAAAGAGACAGACACACACAGAAACAAGGAATTGTTACACCAGGGTTCCTTTTTAAGACAATATTTGGAGGGTAGAAAGTGACCTTGCAAGTTCAACCCTTTCCTGGGAGTCAGCGTGAAGACCGAGGTGTGAGAAGCATCCAATCCAATCCAAATACTTTTATTGGCATAAAAAGAAAAAAAGGTACAACAGGGCCAGTTTACAGAAAATTTCAATTATAAAAGCCATCAAGTATCACATGCAAGACCTAGACTTTTGCTCCCTGATCGTTACGGCAATCAGAAGATACCTTGTAACTGAACTTGCCATGTGGGAACATCGGTCAGATAGTAAAAAGAGATACTAACTTTGCCTCAGATAGACCGTGAAAGGTAGACACAATAGGTTAAATTATACAGTCCCGCACTTCCTCATAAAAATCACAATGAAGTAGAACATGGGCTACCATTTCTGGGTGCCTTCCTTTACATGGGCAGAGTCTTTCTTGATAGGGAGTGTGGTGGAAGTAGGGGATATTCGGCCCCCTCAGTTGATCCGCAAATTCCACCGGGAGTTCCCGGACAAACCGGGAGACCTCCCGGGCTAGCCGGGAGATTCCGGGAGGTTGCTGTAAAGGGGGGGGACTTGATTTTCGAGGGGGTAGTATGTCAGCTAACGCTGCCATGAGTGTGGTGTCTGTTTCTAATTGCTTTGCATTCCTTCCCATGTGCATAATCGCTTTAAAGCTGTAACGTGTATCTATCAAGGTCACTGGAGGAGTCAGTACTGTCTAGGTTTCGTGGGAGCTTCTCACGTTCCCAGCTTCGCAGCCATTAGAGAAGGGGCCAAATGCCCACGTGCGGGAGGCCCTCTAATTGGCTGTGGGGGGGCGCATACGAATGCCCTATATCCTATTATGCGCATAGGTAGCCCGCCATTCCTAACAGTGTTCATGTTATTGCATCTATGGCTTTTCAATAAAAGTAAAACCTTCCTGGAAGCGTGTACTTCGTTGTTTTGCTGTGGATCCTGACATTGTGTTGGCAAACCTCCCAGACAATACCACTGAGGGTAAAACATTAAATCTTGCTAACATAAAAGAGCGGCGTAACTGGGGTGAGGTAATCTGGGAAAGATAAGCTGCAGGCAGTCCCTATTCTGGAAAGAGACCAAATGCTAAAGGGGAGCAGGCTTTGTGTTCAATAGAACAGATAGTCTGTTTCAGGGGTCATTTCGTAGAAAAAGAGCTAGGGGAACTCATTAGCATAACTCATTAGCATATGCCACACCCCCTGACATCACCGGAAGTGTGTCATAAGGCCACACACCCCGCCCCCAACGGTCCCGGCCGCCTTCCGGAAGATTTCAACGTATCCCCAGACATCTGAGATTACGCTCATGCCCTTCAGAGTCAATAGAGACCCTCTCCCATATATTATTTCATTGCTCCCACTATGCAGAAGAAAGAGCCCTTTTAATTAGGCCTTTATTAAGGTCATTTAGGGTTCAAGGACAATTAGTATTTCAGTCCGAGGAACTTTTGCTGAAACACCTACTGGTGGACAAATCCACAGTTATTTCAAGGAATGTTGCTAAATTTCTTTTTATTGCAACTATAAAGTGCAAGCACTTCCTTAATACTCCTTGAGATGTTTTTTTTTTCTTCTGTAATGCCTTACGACAATCCGGAGACTGTTTCTGACTCTGTATGTTGTTTGATGGGTCTTCGACCATAATAAACTGATTGATTGATTGACCCCTGGTAAGCATACTGTTTTAGAGTTAAAAAAATAAAAAATAAAAAGCAGAGTAAAACACAGTTATAAGAATATACGTACAATCGTGCATTAAGAAGTATAAAAATAGTAAATCTGTTCTGGCTATCAGATGTTGATCCGTGTTGGAGTTGTGTTCGAGTTGAAGAATAAAGTTGTGTTCTTGCTGAATCACTCTCCGACTTCTTTGTTAAGCGAGCAACTTAACAGTAGGCGTAGCCAAAATTTTAGGGTTAATAATGTGACAAGCATATCCCTTTTTGCATCCGATTTCGAGCGATGCCACCCGGCTCAGGCTCCCTTCCCTCCCGCCGTAGGGGACTGCTGGTTCCTGGCGGCAGCCGCATCGCTCACCTTGCACCAGGAGCTCCTGAGAAAGGTGGTCCCTCTGGAGCAGACGTTTGAGGAGGAGGACTACGCCGGCATCTTCCACTTCCGGGTGAGTCGGGAGAGGCCCCTGCCCTTCAGGAGCCAGCAATCGGGGTTGTCAGCTCCAAGTAGGGAAATTCCTGGAGATTCGGGGGGTTAGGGTTAGAGCCTTGGGGAGGGCGGGGTTTCAGACGGGAGAGACGTCAGCTGGGTGTGACGCCCTAGAGCAGGGGTGTCGAACTAATTTGTCACGAGGGCCGGATATGACATAAATGTCACTTGGTCGGGCTGGGCCATGCGTGTAACACAAAGTACTCTCTGGTACTTTGTGCTACATTTTATGGCACACAGGGCCCCGCCTGACAAAGTGACATTTATGTCAGATCCGGACCTGGTAACAAATGAGTTCGACACCCATGCCCTAGAGTCCGCCCTCCAAAGCAGCCATTTTCTCCACCTTTACCACACCTCTCCTCCTCAGTAGTCCCTTTTCACCATGACTCACAGTCACAAGGGCTGCCAACCCCCAGGCCATGGCTGGAGATCTCCCACTATTGTAACTAATCTCCAGTCAACAGGCTACAGAGATCAGTTCCTCTGCACAAAATGGCTGCGATGGAAAATGGACTCTGCAGTTATACCCCACTGAAGTCCCTCCCCTCCCCAAACTCCGCCCTCATCAGTCTCCACCCCCCCAAAACCTCCAGCTGCTGGTGTGACCTTGGGTCAGTCACAAGTTCTCTCAGAGCTGTTCTCTCAAGGGCAGTTCTTTCAGAGCTCTCTCAGCCCCACCTACCTCACACAGGGTGTCTGTTGTGGGGAGCGGAAGGGAAAGAAGATTATAAGCCGCTCTGAGACTCCTTCGGGTAGTGAAGGGCGGGCTATAAATCCAATATCTTCTTCTTCTTCTTCTAATGGTCACTGACAGTACTGCCTTTCAGCCGTTTTCAGTTCCTCCCCCCCAAACCCACAAAAGTCTGTCTCTAGCCCGGTGTTCTCTCTCATTCGTCCATTCCTCCTCAGTTCTGGCAATACGGGGAGTGGGTGGATGTGGTGGTGGACGACCGTCTCCCCACGGTGAACGGAAAGCTGTATTTTGGAAGGTATTCCGACGGCGATGAATTCTGGATGCCGTTACTGGAGAAGGCGTATGCCAAGTAAGTAGTGCATGGCTCCTCTATGGGAATATATCACCTTCTTTGTTGGAATGGGTTTTTCAAATGCATTTGTGGCCTTCGATGGTCTGGTTTGTTTTCGATGTGTTTTCAGTAACGTCTAAGGCCAACAAGTTTAATTCTGGGCATAGCTTCCGTGTGCATGTGCACTTCTTCGGGTACATTGAAATGGAAGTTACCAGTCCATACATGTACCTGAAGAAGTGTGCCTGCACACGTTATGCCCAGAATTAAACGTGTTGGTCTTCAAGGTGCCACTGGACTCAAACTTTGTTCTGTTACTTCAGACCAACATGGCTACCCACCGGAATCTACCTTCAATTATGTCAGAACTAGGGTTCCCAAGTCAGATCGGCACTGGAGCAGGGGACTCCAGCGCCGATCCGGGAGTGCGAGCGCGCCGCGACCCCGTCACCCGGAAGTGACGCGACCACGCCGGGCATGTTGGGGGCGGGGCCACGACCATCCGAGGGAAAACCATAGAGTTTTCCCTCGGATGACCATGGCCCCGCCCCCAGCGTGCCCGGCATCATAACATCACTTAAAAAAAGGAACGGGCCTCTGGGGCGGGGATTTCCCCACCCCCTGGGGGGACTTGGCAAGCCTAGTCAGAACAGAGGACAGTAGCACGTTAAAGACTAAAAAAAAATGTGGTGAGGACATAGGGTGCGAGCTTTTGTGAGTCACTACTCACTTCTTCAATAACGTTGTAACCCACTTTGAAGCAGGGGGGCGGTGGGGTGGCGAAATAGCCTTAATTAAATAAACAGGCGTTTATGTCCCACATTCTCAGCCAACTTCAATCATTCAATTCAAAACGCATGAATGGACAACTCCTGAAGGGCAGACTTTTGCTAATGTAATCCTCTATATGACAGCCCTTCAACCAACTTCAAGTACTTGAAGGGCTGTCATATAGAGGATGGTGCAGAGCTGTTTGCTGTTGCCCCAGAAGGTGAGACCAGAACCAATGGGTTGAAATTAAATCAGAAGAGTTTTCGGCTAAGAAATTAGGAAGAACTCCCTGACAGAGTGGTTCCTCAGTGGAACAGGCTTCCTCGAGAGGTGGTGGGCTCTCCTTTGGAGGTTGTCAAACAGAAGCTAGATGGCCATCTGACAGCAATGCTAATTCTGTGAAATTAGGCAGATCATGGGGGGAAGGCAGGAAGGGTTGCCTCAGTGATTAGTTCTTGCGGCCCTTTCTTACACGCCCCTGGGAAATACCGATCACCCCTTTGGGGGTCAGGACGCTATTTTTCTCCTGGCCAGTTTGGCCAGAGATCCTGGAGGGTTTTGGGTTTTTTTTGTCATTTTCTGGGAATGGAACAGGGGTCACTGCGGGTGTGGAAGGGGAGGTATTTGTGAATTTCCTGTATTGTGCAGGGGGTTGGACTAGATGACCCTGGAAGTCCCCTCCAACTCTATGATTCTATAATTCTAGGTGACAAATGTCCTAAAAGGGCAAAGCAGCAGAGGCACTTCTGTATGCATTCAACCCCCCCCACACACACACCCTCTCCCCGAATGCCATTGGGTAGGAATTTCTGCTGAGAATATAGTTCACTGAGGAAAACAGAGGGGCGGCGGTAGATTTCACTCTGTTACAACATTCTCACGTGCTTTCAACGGTCCGTTTATATGCATATGGAAAGATGGAACCATTAACAGTTCTGCAGCTTGGAGAGGCATCGTCTCGTAACAAGGAATTTTGCGGAATTATTATACAAACAGACGGACTAGAACTCCCTCCACACCACACCAGGCAGACGGGCTGGCTGGCAGTCCAGGCTGGGCACATCAGCAACCGGTTTCATCCTACCAGGGCTGCCAAGTCCGAGTTGAGAAATTCCTGAAGATTTGGGGGTGGAACCTGGGGAGGAGCCTCAGAGGGGCAGAATGCCATAGAGTCCACCTTCCAAAGCAGCCCTTTGGGGGGAGGGGGGAACGATCACTGTCGTCGGGAGATTGGCTGTAATCTCAGGATATCTCCTGGCCCCACCTGGAGACTGGCAAGCCTAGACAGCTGTCTCCATCCCTCCTTCAGTGCATTTTCCTGTGCTGCTGCCTAACTGGTTTTGTTTCCTCGTTTCTGCTCCCCCACCTTTGCAGACTGAATGGTTCTTACGGAGCAATAAATGGTGGACACATGAAAGACGCCTTCGTGGACTTCACTGGTGGGATTGGGGAGAGAATTTATTTGAAAACCTCTAACCCACCAGACCTCTTCAAGAAAATCCAGGAGGCGCTGAGCAGGAAGTCTTTGATGGCGGCAGGAATCCCTCCGGTATGAGCGGGCGTGTTCTTCCATTCGGTGAAAACACAGAACATGACACGGGGCGCCGAATGAGCTCCCCTGAGAACCTCTTTCAAATTCTTTTTAAAAAACTCTTAATTCTTTAGAAAATTATATTCTAGCAAGCATGACCTTTCTCGGTGCTCACCGGCCTTCTTACCTACGAGGTCAACCAAAGCTTTCCCTCTTCTTTACAGCAAGTTAGCTTAAGAAGGGAAGGAAGAGAATCTGTAGACCTGTTAAAGGACACGTCAGTCCCTGGGTGGTGACCAGGAAAACTGACATCAGCCGATTCTTGCCCTGCCTTTCCCAGCTCTGGCCACAAATACCTGTCCTGGATGGGAGTTGGGAGGCCCCAACATATTCCTTCCGAACTGCATAGTTAGGAAGTCCTCCTTGTAGTGAGGCCCAGTTACTCTCAGTGGTGGTGGTGGTGGGGAACGCAGCAGCCAAATCTGCTCAATACTCAGAACAGTAAAGGTCAAGGTTTCCCTTGCTTGACAGCTAGTCGAATCCGACTCTAGGGGGCGGTGCTCATCTCCGTTTCCAAGCCGAAGAGCCAGCGCTGTCCGAAGACTTCTCCGTGGTCACGTGGACGGCATGACTAAACACCGAGGCGCACGGAATGCTGTTGCCTTCCCATCAAAGCAGGACCTATTTATCAACTTGCAGTGTCTTGCTTTCGAACTGCTAGGCTGGCAGGAGCAGGCGGCAAACCCAAATGGGGGGGGGGGCTATATTTTTATTCAATATGCTGTTTGTCCATCCAGGCAAGTACCGTCTCCTCTGCCTGGCAGCAGCAGCAGCCCTCTGGCGTCTCCCGTCAGAGCTCTTTCACATCACCTACTACCTGGTCCTCTTTGCTGGAGATGCTACTGAGGCCTCCTGCCTGCCGAGCAGATGCTGTACCCACTGAGCCATAGAGATTCTGACTGTGCTCTCCTATTCTGTGCAGCGCAAGGGAGTGAACTACCTACATGGCCTGGTTCCAAAACATGCTTATTCGGTCACAGGGATCCATGAGGTAAGGACATCCTCGCTTTCAGAATTGTTATCTTACGATACGGCTCGTCTCAAAACCTCAGAGTTCAGTTCCCCTGGAGCGAATGGATGCTTTGGTGGGTGAACTCTGTGGCGTCATACTCCACTGAGGTCCCGTTCCTCCCCAGAGTCCATCTCCAGGGGGTTTCCAACCTGGATCTGGCCACACGGTCCCCCTGCCAGTGGCCGGGGCGAGTGACCTGGCAACCGTACCCAGAAAAGGGGCACTTTCTGAAAGTCCCCTCTCTTCTGAAAAGGCACATGTGGCCCTTCCTCTTGTGCTGCGGGTCAAGCTAACATATATGCTGGCTGCCCATTATGAAGGGTGGCAACCCCTCCACCCACACCACACTTTTCTGAATGTGTTCCTAGCTCCGCCTGGAAGACAAGGAGGTGAAGTTGCTCCGGCTGCGGAATCCTTATGGTGAACAGGAGTGGAAAGGTCCCTGGAGTGACGGGTGAGTGTATTCCGAGACTTTCACAGGCAAAAGGCAAAAGACTAGGGCTGGTTCCAGGTTTCAGTGGGCCCTGGGCAGAGTTCCTGGGGGCCCCCTCCTCTGCTTAACTATTTTTTACACTTTATGGCCCAATCTGCATCTAGTATTTGCTCCGTTGTTGTACCAAACCCACACTGGAACAGAAAAAGATGCGGCTCAAAACCACATTCAGATACCCCAGGTTAATGCCGTACTGACTGCAGAGTCACCCCGGAATGGCCATAAAACGGCTGTAAATCTATGCAGACAGCCACCATAAAACCAGAGATCAAACGAAGTGAAAGCAGCATGCGGTCTGGTCTGGACGCTGCTATAAAATTTGACAATCAATCAAAGTGAAAGTGGCATGCAATGTAGATGGGAATTACTGTTCCAGTGTGGGTTTGGTAAGACAGCCGAGCAAATGCTAGATGCAGATTTGGCCTATAAATAAATACCTTCAGTTGTAAAACTGAAATGTAAAACTGAAATTCCCGGAGCTGCAGCAATGACTCGGGAGTGTTGCGGGGAGCGATAGTCGGCGGAGCGGGGCGCGGTGCTGTGATGGAGCGATGCGGGGCACGGGTTCCTGTTGATTGATGCTTGGTGCTGGCCCGGAGTCGGAGTCAGGCTCGCTCATCGGGATCCCACCTTCGTCGTCAGTATAAAGTATCAAGTTCTGAGGCTCAGCATAGTGAATCAGCTCAAGTTTATTAGTTACATCCAAACGAAGAGATAACTTAGCCAGTCCGGGGACGGCTTATATGCATGTACTCACTCATACCCAACACCCCTCCAATTCCTGTGACAGGATCTATTTATTTATTTATTTTTCACATTTATACCCTGCCCTCCCCGATAGGCTCAGGGCGGCTTACAGAGGCAAGGCAAAACCTTGCCATAATAAAAACATAATATACATAATGAATTAAAAAACATATAATACATCTTAATTAAAAACATGGTGCTCAATAACTTGCATAATTCCAGAGATGGCAGATTGTAGGTCTGAAGTTCCGAGTGGTACTTCCCACGGCTCAATATTAAGACGTTTCCTCAGGGCTTCGTCCAAAACAGGCGATGGTGGTATAGTAGGGGCGGTGGCTCCTACTCAAAGGCCTGGCGGAAGAGCTCCGTCTTGCAGGCCCTGCGGAACTGCATAAGATACCACAGGGCCCAGATCTCCCCTGGGAGCTCATTCCACCAGGTAGGAGCCGCCACCGAAAAAGCCCTGGTCCTAGTAGCGACCAGCTTGGTGTCCTTGGGGCCCGGGATGGTTAACAATTTTTGGGCCCCTGACCGTAGTGCTCTTGGGGGAACATACGGGAAAGGCGGTCCCTCAGGTAGGCTGGACCCTGGCCATGTAGGGCTTTATAGGTAAGAACCAGCACTTTGAAGCGAATCCGGTACGCTATTGGCAACATGATCCCGGCTACTATAGGTCCAATTCAAGATCCAGGTGACCCTGTTGGTCTGTGCTTGGATCCGAGGTGGCTATTGTTTTACGGATTGAAGGTCTGCCTGACCGCATGGCCAGGCTGGCTCAGCCGCGGCCATCTTAATACATAACACACCTCCAGTTTAAGTTCATCAGAAAGTGAAGGCACCACTAGGAATACATGAAGCTGCCTTCTACTGAATCAGCCCTTTGGTCCGTCAATGTCTGAGTTGTCTACTCAGACTGGCAGCGGCTGTCTAAGGTCTCAAGTATTGTCTACTCGGACTGGCAGCGGCTGTCTAAGGTCTCAAGTATTGTCTACACAGACTGGTAGCAGCTTTCCAGGTTCTCAGGCTGAGGTCTTTCCCATCCCCTGGTCCTTGCCGGGGATTGAACCTGGGATCTTGTGCATGCGAAGCAGATGCTCTACCACTGAGCCATGGTTCTTCCCCTAATGCTGTCTCTGTTTCTAGGATATTTCCTTCCATCTATTAATCTCATCTTGCATGGCATTCTCTTCCTCTCCTCAACTCACAGAACATGAGTATGTGTAATATTCTTCACTAGAGGCGGCCCTACTATGATGGGAGGCAGTTTTCACACGTGGAAGAGATTTGGGATGCCATTTAGGGCCACAGGTGTAACATTCCAAGACATACTCATGTGCAGGTGTTCTTATGCTTTTACCCATGTAAATGTAGCTCCAGAAAGCTAGACTTTCTTGTTTTATTCTCCAGTGTTATGATTCTTTCTTTTAAAGCTCAAACACACATTGCAGGGCTCTCGTTTATTTCCTTTGCTCTGCTTAATTAACACAACAGCAGGCCAGAAGTGAACTCCCAGTCTTTCAAGCTAGGACATTTTCTGCCGTGTCAAGTTTCCCCGCACCCGCACTTGTATTCCTCAGCTACTTTCCCTCGTTTCTGCAGATGTTTTCACTCTCTCAGGCACAAAAATGCAGTTTCTCTCCTGTTGTCACGCAGCAATCGGGCTTCCCTGTTTCCGGGAAGTTTTCCCAAGCCCAGCATTCAACCCGCACCAACCTTGTGGGGAAATCTTTGCTCAGCTGGTGTTTTTCAGTCCTAGGTTTGCCCTCTCCTTTCCTCCATATTTGCATGTTCAGAGCAATTTCCAGTCAATTAGCTCATTGTTTCCGATTCTAAGAGGTTTTTTGCTGTTTACTATAGCAGATAGTGCTGCGGCATTGTAGTAGTAGTCAGGGGTCATTTCGTAGAAAAAGAGCTAGGGGAACTCATTAGCATAACTCATTAGCGTATGCCACACACCCTGACATCAGGGGCC